GTGGGGGCGGCTCTGCCAGACGCCGCCGCTACCGCGCCCTGACGGTGCCCGAGCTGACGCAGCAGATGTTCGACTCCAAGAACATGATGGCCGCCTGCGACCCCCGCCACGGTCGCTACCTGACGGTGGCCGCCATCTTCCGGGGCCGCATGTCCATGAAGGAGGTGGACGAGCAGATGCTCAACGTGCAGAACAAGAACAGCAGCTACTTTGTCGAGTGGATCCCCAACAACGTGAAGACGGCCGTCTGCGACATCCCCCCGCGCGGCCTCAAGATGTCCGCCACCTTCATTGGCAACAGCACGGCTATTCAGGAGCTCTTCAAGAGGATCTCGGAGCAGTTCACGGCCATGTTCCGGCGCAAGGCTTTCTTGCACTGGTACACCGGCGAGGGCATGGATGAAATGGAGTTCACGGAGGCCGAGAGCAACATGAATGACCTGGTCTCCGAATACCAGCAATACCAGGATGCCACTGCTGACGAGCAGGGGGAGTTTGAAGAGGAAGGAGAGGAGGATGAAGCGTAAAGTTAAAATGGGTAGGAGTTAAGTATAGTCTGAGCAGGCAAGTGTTCATTGAGAGGAGGAATCTGTGCAGTTGTGCTGAAGCATGCATTTTTTAATTTGGTGCTCTCCACTGTTGCTTCTGTCAGCAGTTTTGTATCCTTGACTGTCCAATGTAACAGTAGTTGCAAAAATACTTCAGAGTCTTCTGTTGAAATGGTTAACTTCTCAAACATAAAGGCTTTTTGTGTCCTAAACTGTCTCCTCTGCCTTATTTCTCTCTAGATTAAGAAAATAACTCTTGGGGTAGTTTTCTGTGGCTTCCATTCTCAGTTTAATCCTTAACCTCAGTAAAAGGATAAACTCGTAAAAGAAGATTTCTCAGGCTGAGTTTAGCACCATGGGGGAGCTGTTGTTGCTCAATTTAAGATGGTAGCTAATTTATGGAAACTAGGAGTTCACTGTTAGATGCTCCTGTGTCTAACAGCTAATCTATTGTTGGGGAGAAAGCTGCCTTAGCTAACAGGAACAAGACACTGCACTTGAGAATCCTGCAACTCCTATTTATGGACATACATTGTAGTGAGGTCAGTGAGAAGGTATTGGTTTCCACATTACAAGCTGTCAAAACTGATTTGACAGGATAGCTGCAGACTTCCCCACTGACATTCAGCAGTTCTTATTTAACTTGTTCCAGGGCCTATAGTACATGCATATGGGTGGCTGCCTGTGACTTGATTTTATCTTGTCCTGTCCTATCTTTCCCCTAACCTTTCTCTCTAAGAAGTCCATGCGGTGAAGTATGGGTCTCTACTAGCAGAAAACTTGAGAACTTGATTAAGAACTTGAACTTTCTCTCTAGGCATAAATTCTTGAGTGTTGCCCAAAAATAGCCACTAAGCTGTCCTTAGCTTTAGAGGGATTGACTCTTAAGGGCAATCAATTCCTTTTGTGAGTTAAGAGGTGATGGGCAGATTTCTAGATAACGGCTCAAAAGGCTACCCAGAACATGCATAGGACCTTGCAGTAGTCACCTGTAGATGCCCTGACAATCACGGCTTCCACTTCCAAGTTACACATTTACAGGGCTGCTGTTGTCTGATGCTCTTGGTCCCTGCAGCAGGAAGTGGACCTCTAACCGGGCAGGTGAGAACAGTGCAGCAGCACTCTTGTTCATCTGTGAAGGTAAGTGTGGTTTCCTTACAGTAAGGGAGGGAGGATTTATGTTGCCACGTACTTAAAGGGTGTGAGAACCCTGAGTGAGTCTACAATACAGTCATCAGTAGTTACAAGGTCTGAGACTTCTCTTACTCCTACAAAACAAGAGTAAAATTCCCCACAGAGTGTAGCAGTTACCCAATAGGTAAGCTTAGTCTTTAGTTCACCCAAACACTACTTAAGGGAGTGCTCCTGTACTAAAAAAATGTGTTGCTTTGAGAACTGCTACCAATGCTACAATTACCGTGGTCCTTACTGTCCTGAAAGAGCTGGCATCCATATGTGTGCAACCTCTTTTGTGATCCTTTAATGAAATGCTTGCAAGGTATTACTGGAATAAAGACTTAAACGGGAGCTGCTGTGCATGACTAATATCTTGCCTGTTTTGGCTCTGTTAATTGACTCCACTGCCTGCAGACACTGCTCTGAGTGTACCCTGTTCCTTTGCTGATGGCCCTATTAACCTGGTGTGCAGGACAACAGGCACTGCTATAGATTTTCTTCCATCTACAGGCTTCACTTCTGGTGTACACCCTCTGAAGAGGGGTGAGAATCACTTAAAACTGCCTGAACTCTGTCAGTAAATGAATACAGCTGTATATACCCACAGTAGTACTTTCATTTCTTAGCAGCTGAGCATGATTAAGCATTAAACAAATTGAGGTTGTTTCAGTAACTGAGTTAATAGATGCTGCTCCAGGCCCTTTGGGGAAATAACTTACCTGGTTGTCAGAGTAACCTTCCTTTGAAACTATCTAACTGGGTTACACTTGAAACTGTTTATCATACAGCTTTGTAAAGCTGACAAGGGGAGCCAGCAAATGAATTTAAACAAAGTTGAGAACCTGGTCTTTGATAGTAAAGACCTTGCTTTCTGCCATGGGACTCTAGCAGGTTTCACTAGTGTTGAGCATGTCTAGCTTGTAATTCTTAGTGTAATTACACTCTGTCTCTAGCTAACCCTTAAATACAGCTATGCAAGCAACATTTCACTACAGCTCCCTTACTACTAAGTAGGACATCTATGTTGTTTGTATTGTTTCTTCTAGAGGAAGAGAAACCATAAATAGTCTAGACAGAAACATGTATTTTCATGAATTCTGTACTGCTTATTTCCCAGTCATAATTATTAAAAAATCAAGCCATCATTTTAGTAGGGGTTGAGGGAAATACAGGAAAAGGGGATAATAGATTTAGAGGGGAGGTTCCAAACTCCTCAGCAGGAACAGTATGTCAACTATAAGGGAGGATGAGTCTTATACTTGTCCTGAGGGATGCAGTACTATTTTTCTCTGTTGGATCTTTGAGCTTTAGCTGTATCTATTACCCAAGAGACCATTCACTATAAAAGATGGAGACTGACTGATGTATGCCAAACAACAAAAAGATGTCTTTGCAAGTCTTTGTAGTTGCACTTTTTCTGTTTCACAAAGAAAGATGAGCCAGTAAAAGGATTTAAGATTAGGTAATCTGACTGCCTTAAACTCTGCTGGGTCTTGATTTGTATTTGTCCATGTGATGAACACCACCTCTAAGACCAAAGGTCTTGCATGAGGTATCCTGTCTGGAAGAAATGAGGATAGATAGTACAGATTTAGTGGTGTGCAGCTTAAACCACTTACAGCAACTCATTTGTGTTGAGATAGAAGTTAATAATACCAAGCAATATATTTTTGTTTCAACCTGTCAGTGGTGGCCTGCAGGTGAAGCATTCTCCTCTAACAGAACGGATGGTGTTGGGGAAGGGAATAATCACTTTTTTGTTCCCTTTGTTAAATGTGTGGCATTAAGCACATTAGCACAATGTCTTGACCAAGACAAACAACATTTGTCTGTTGGTAGATGCAAGATGGTAAAGCTAAATAAGGATGTAAAAGCAACCAATTAATATGTTGGTTTAATTTAAATAGGAATAGAATGAAGTGTGGTAGGAGTGAGATGCCATGTCTCCTAATTTTCCTTGTTTAGTTCTAGGACCTCAGTCTAAGTCATTGTACCAACAGCAGAAGGAAAGTACAATATGTGGTTGGGTTCTTCAGAACACTTGAGTATCTGTTGAGAATATAGACATACATGTTTTTCAGTCTGTCAAGTAGGAGCAGTAAGGATTGTCCTCTTCCCAGCATATGTCACATGGCCATATACACATCAGAAACTGTGTTGCATTAAACATACAATGGTCACAGTGATGTGATAATCTAAGAATCAAACCTGAGGCCCATCCCTTTGACAGGTGTATCTTTCCAGAAGGTGAAGAAACCAAAGTAGCAATAGGATTTATAACCCAAACAAAGAAGGGAACCCCAATCTTTGGTCTCTTCTACAGACAATTCTCTACAGAAACGGGGTAAACCCCTAATCTTCTGTACAGGGAAATTTGCTCATGGCTGATATTACCACATGCTACATACTTCAAAGGAGTATAGTGCTAGTAGGTCCTTTTAGGTATCTGTGCATATACTATGTGCTTAAAGAAACTGATGGGCTGACAGAGTCCTTATGGGACAGTGCTGCAACACACTACTGCGAAACACTGCCCTGGTGCCCTGAGGGAGCATGGCAGAGTGGTGCAAGAGGGACAAGTTTTCTTATATACCAGAAAGAGTTGGAGCATCTAGCAATACTTGCTGCACCAGAAAGAGCTCTCTTCTTGCTTCCTTTGCTCTCTAAGCCCCGCAGCGAAGTCATGTGTAAGATCAGGATGGAATCTGGTACTAGATTTGAGTACAGCAAGTTTTGTGATTGTTCCATTGAAATCACCTCCCCCCACCCCCCCAAAATCAAACCGAACAACAAAATCCAACCAACCTCCCACCTCATTGTCTTACTATATTTTTTTAATATTTTATGTTTTGGAAAAAAGTGCTGTTACGATGTATTAATTTCTGCTTCACTTCAATTATTGCTGTCTGTTTAATGAGGCTGAATATTTTTGTTTGCTAAAGCTATGAGGAGATAGAATGTCTCTAGGGAAATCATGTGACTACCCCCTATATTTGGTAGTCACCCTTTTCCCAAGGGATGTTATTTTACTTTTCCATTCCACATTAAAGCATAATGAGCATATACTTTTAGGGATCATTCAGATATGGTAGCCTGTGTAGGAGCTATAGATAATGCTGTTCCTCTGAAACTGCGCGTTGTAGGGGAGATACTGTTTTCTCATTTACAAATAATCCCCTTCTCAATCTTCCCGTGTATTTTTCAGCTGCTTCTATTTTTCACAGAACAAAGTTTGTGACTCTTTTGATGTGTTATATGTGCCTGAGGTAATCCAAGTACAGTTATTTTCTCCCCCTTTCTTCCGCTTGAACCTTTATAAATAAGTGTTATGAGCTGAACTTGTATGTGACTTAAAAGATTTTTGAAAATGTTTCCCCTCCCAATCTAAAATGCATTTATGCTAAGCACCTGCCTTTTGATACCCTAGCAATTGCTTGTCCTGGTTGTTGTTTATTAAGACTGGGAATAGCAAACGATTGGATCTCAGATACTTCCATTTTAGATGATTGTTATCTTTAGCTTGCTATGTAAAAATTCAAAATGGAAACTTTTGATCACAGGAAAGTGCCTGAGGCTATGGTGCATTTTGGAAAAAGACATTTCTTGGCTCTGAATATACTGGACAGTGGTCTAGCTGGAGCCCTCTAAGCACTCATGTGAATCTGAGATGCAGGAAGGGTATTGGGAGGAGCTGTGAAAGCCTGGCCCCAGCTCCAGCTGTTCTGCCAGCAAAGGACACAGTGCAGGTGTTGACTTTTCTCTGAGTAGTTTAACGAGAAGTGAACTGTCTCTCTGCTCCTAGCTCCAATCCTATTTTAAGTATTTTATTTGTGAATCTGCCAGAAAGAAAAATTGTGTCTTTTTGAAGTATGTCTATAAGAAGGCTATCTATTTACAGTATCTAAGCAAAAAATAATTTAAGAGTAGGTCATTCCATCCTCCCCACTTAAAGTAATTTTTCTCTTTTGGGCAGAATTGCACTTTAAGGGAGGAAATCAAGTTAGCATTGTTAAATTCTTGTTTATTAGCATTTGAT